CAATTTTAGGTTGGAAAACCTAAAGTAAACTCCGTATTTCACCTGAATTCCCAGGGAAGGAGCAATTTGCATTTTCGCTGCTGTAAAATAAAGTTATTAAATATTTATATATATTAATATAAAAGTCTGTATAAACTCTATTTTTTTTTTTTTTTTTTTTGGTGATGGGGGAAGGGCGGGAGCGCCGCGGGAATTCCCGGGAGGGGAGGTTGGGATTTAAAAAGGATTCCAGGATGGATTTACTGGAATTCCAGAATGGATTCATTGGAATTCAAGAATGGATTCACTGGAATTCAGAATGGGTTCACCAAAATTCCAGAATGGATTCACCAAAATTCCAGCACGGATCCACCCAAAATTCAAGAACAAGAATGGATTCATCCAAATTCCATCACAAACCCACCCAAATCCCAGCATGGTGCACCAAAATTCAAGAATGGATTCACCAAAATTCCATCACAAACCCCCCCAAATTCCAGCAGGGATCCACCAGAATTCCAGCACTGATCCAACCAAAATTCCAGCACAAATCCACCCAAAATTCCAGCAGGGATCCACACCCTGTGCTCCGAACGGGAACTCCCATCCCAATCCCTCCCAAGAACGTTCTCTCCATCAATCCCTCACAAGGATGTTCTCTTCTCCACCGATCCTGTTTTCCTCACAAGAACGTTCTCTCCATCAATCCCATTCCCAAGAACGTTCTCCTCTCCATCAATCCCGTTCCCTCACAAGGACATTTTCCCCATCAATCCCTCACAAGAACGTTCTCTCCATAAATCCCATTTCCCTCACAAGAACGTTCTCTCCATCAATCCCCCACCAGAACGTTCTCTCCATCAATCCCTCACAAGAATGTTTTCTCCATCAATCCCATTTCCCCCATAAGGATGTTCTCCTTTCCATCAATCCCTCACAAGAACGTTCTCTCATCAATCCCATTCCCAAGAACGTTCTCTCATCAATCCCATTCCCAAGAACGTTCTCTCATCATTCCCTCACAGTGACGTTCTCCTCTCCACCGATCCCTTGCTCAGGACGTATTTGAAGAACTCGTAGACGGACCAGGCGATGGCGGTGGAGGGCATTTGGTAGATGACCCTGGCCTGGACGCCCCTGAAGAAGGCGGGCAGCCCTCCCAGGCGGTACACGCTGCCCACGGCGTTGGCCATGCCCGACAGGTGCCCGCCGAGCCGCAGCGAGCTCAGCGCCGAGCTCTCCTGAGTGTTGAGCAGAGTTTTGCAAACGTCCAGCGGCGTGGTGGCCGCCGCGGCCACGGCTCCGGCCACGGCGCCGGCGGTGATGTGGGCGCGGGGTTGGTACTCGCGCCGAGGGTTCAGGTGCTCCTGGAGGAGCTCGTAGGTGACAAAGTGGACGGCGTGGAAGGGGACGTTGAGCGCCAGCTGAGTGCTGTAGCTGCGGTAAAAGGCGGCGACGCCTTCGGAGCGGAGAATGGAGCGCACGCAGCTCAGCACGGAGCGGTGAGGGGAGTTGAACATCTGCAGGCGCTGCTTCACCACTGCGGGAGAGTGACCACAGTGACCCCTGAGCCCAGCCTCTCCTTCCCCAGAGTGACCAGGGTGACCCCTGAGCCCAGCCCAGCCCAGCCTCTCCTTCCTCATCACCACTGCTGGGGGACAGGGAATGGCTGGGACTGGGGGAGATGGTCGGGCTGGACAGGCCCAGAGTGACCAGAGTGACCCCTGAGCCCAGCCCAACTCAGCCCAGCTCAGCCCAGCCCAGCCCCTCGGAGCACAGCTCAGCACAGAGCGGTGAGGGGAGTTGAACATCTGCAGGCGCTGCTTCACCACTGCGGGAGTGACCAGAGTGACCAAAGTGACCAGAGTGACCAAAGTGACCACTGAACCCAGCTCAGCCCAGCCCAGCCCAACCCAGCCCAGCCCCTCGGAGCGCAGCACGGAGCGGTGAGGGGAGTTGAACATCTGCAGGCGCTGCTTCACCACTGCGGGAGTGACCAGAGTGACCAGAGTGACCCCTGAGCCCAGCCCAGCCCAGCCTCTTCATCCCCAGAGTGACCAGAGTGACCAGGGTGACCAGAGTGACCAGAGTGACCCCTGAGCTCAGCCCAGCCTCTCCTTCCTCAGAGTGACCCCTGAGCCCAGCCCCAGTCTCTTCTGATCACCATTGCAAGGGGACAGGGACAGGATGGAGGGGAAGGGACAGACCCAGAGTGACCAGAGTGACCCCTGAGCTCAGCTTCTCCTTCCCCAGAGTGACCAGAGTGACCCCTGAGCTCAGCTTCTCCTTCTCCAGAGTGACCAGAGTGACCCCTGAGCCCAGCCCAGCCCCTCGGGGCTGCCCCAGCTCAGAGACGCCCAAAGCCACCAAGGCCACCAAAGTCACTGAAGTCACCAAAGGAACCAGAGCCACCAGAGCCACCAAGGGAACCAAAGGAACCAAAGGTTTCAAAGCCACCAAAGGCCACCAAGGCCACCAAAGACCACCAAGGCCACCAAAGGCATCAAAGCCACCAAAGGCATCAAAGCCACCAAAGGCTCCAAAGACACCAAAGGCTCCAAAGACACCAAGGCCACCAAGGCTACCAAAGGCACCAGACCCACCAAAGCCATCAAAGCCACCAAAGCCACCAAGGCCACCAAAGGCTGGTCCCCAGTGCCCTGTCCCTCAGAAGGGGTGTCCCCGTGTCCCCGTGTCCCCAGGCCCCACTGCTGTCCCCGAGTTACCTTCGGCCGGGTTCATGACGGCGTCGTGCAGCAGCGTGGCCACGCTCCCGGCGATGCCTGCGGGGAAAGGCAGCCTTGAGCGGGGAGATAAACCCGGCCTGGGGGGATAAACCCGGCTTTGAGGAGATAAACCCAGCCTGGAGGGGATAAACCTGGCCTTGAGGGGACAAACCCGGCCTTGAGGGGATAAACCCAGTCTGGCGGGGATAAACCCGGCTTGGGGGAGATAAACGCGGCCTGGGGGGGATAAACTCGGCCTGGGGGGGATAAACCCAGCCTGGAGGGGATAAACCCGGCCTTGAGGAGGAAGATAAAACCGGCCTGGAGGGGATAAACCCAGCCTGGAGAGGAGAGATAAACCCGGCCTGAAGGAGGGATGGAACTGTGATCTGTGCAGGGGGATCAGTGGGGGATTAATGGGGGAATCCATCCATGGTCACAGGATTCATTCATGGAGAATCCATCCATGGGGGATCCATGGGGGATCCCCTGGGATCAATGCGGGAATCGATCCATGGGGGATCAATGGGGGAATCCATCCATGGGGGATCAATGGGGGAATCGATCCATGGGGGATCAATGGGGGAATCGATCCATGGGGGATCCACGGGTGAATCCATCCATGGGGGATCCCATCCCTGCCCACACCCCAAAGACTCCCATGGCAGCAAATCCATCCCAAGACACCCCCGGCCCCACTCCAGCCCCATTCC